AAATAATTACAGAAGTAGAACATTTGCATACTTGCAAGTAATTGCTATATATAAATCTTAATAAAAATTTATAATGAAATTAATTCATAACTTTAATATATGTTTATTTATATGCAACGCTTTTTTGCTTTTAAAATATAACTTATGCTATGAATGAGAAACACTTTGAATAGTTCTAGATAATATTGCCAATTTAACTAACAGAATTTACACGCTTTTGTAGTTTTTAATGCACATCTAAGGTGCACATTTCTTTTATTATTGTTAGCATTACACTGTCATATTAATGAATGCTAAAATAAATTCGTATTATGCGTAGCTTAATTACTAATGAACATATCTGTTTCTTTATCATGTTTTATTTTTATTCTGCTTTATAATATGCTTCGCTGAATTACTATCAAAAACTGGAACTGTAAAAAATATTTTAAATTAGACATGCAAGGCATTCAAAATTGTAAAAAATAATTTTATTAATTTATAAACAGTGTTTTGTGTGAGAATATTGTGATATAATTTGGAATGCAGTATATTATAAGCGCATTGATATTTTAATTTTTATTTTGTATGGTATTGTTTAATTTCTTCTTTAATGTGAAATTCTTAGAAATAAATTATTTTAATATACTATCTTGTACTCATTTATTGTTTAATCGCATGCTTATGCTTAATTTATTAATAAGTACTTATTGCCATTGGCATCTTTATGTAAATCATAAATCTGTTGTGTTTGCATGAGTAGTAATCTTTTATGAATCGCTTGTTGCAGGCTACCTGATCATTATTCAAGCTAAGACTTAGAGTTTTTAGCAAAATCTATAATATATTATAATCATATAAGGGGCAAAAATTGTATAAGGAATTAATGAGATCTATTATTCTTGGTGCCTGTTTTAAAATCAACTTTCAAACTAGTGTAAGGAATTGTATGTAATATTATCAAAGTATCAAATTAAATATCAAACACATACCTAAATATGTAAAAAGCAAATGTTATGTAAGGAATTGATGAAATGTTATTCTTGGTGCCTACTTTTGCTTACTAAAGCAACTCACCTTCTATAAACTAGTGTAAGGAAAATAAGATAAAAATGCACAATGATATTATGAAATGATAATATTTTTGGAACACCTGACAAAAAAGTACATAGAGAACGATGTGTGTTCTGTTGAACCTAAGAACTTAAAACCAAGTAAGTTTAAAATACTTTGTATTCTGTTTATATATTGATAATATACAAATTGGTGATAGATACAATGAACATGTGATATTAATTAAAATAAGCCCCTCTTCTCCCATGAGTTCCTAAATCCTGCTTTATCAAAATTTTAAATCCATAGCGAATAAGTAATGCTACACTTTGTAAAGCTTTGTTCTAATTAAAACTTGCAGGAAATGTGACAGAATTAACCCATCGTTTCACATTTCCTGCTCAATATCGGATTTTTATATTTTACATTTTTTAACACGCCGTTCTCTATAATCACCGCAATATTAAAGAAATGTTTTTAGGTATTTGGTTTGTTACTACTTGGGTTAATTCTGTGTACTTTATTCGAATACTTTATCATTTCTTCGAATGTAGTGACGAATGCATTAATATATATGTACGTGATGTGAAGTTTTGTAATACATGCGTATGTTAGTATCATACGGACGATGTATGTGAAAATACGAAGATATTTGATATAAATTTTTGTCCCTTTATTTATGATATTAATTCCAATATACTTCCATCAATAAGAACTTTTTCTTTCAGCAAACACAAGAAGAAACGCGGTCCAAGGAAACACCAGTGAGTAATTTATTTCATTCCTCTTTTTGTGTTTCATAGAAATTTATATTTACACGTTTATCAAAAGAAATAATTTTATAAAATATTCAACGAAAAATATAAAATTATTTCATTTAAGTAGAAAAATAGTGCTCACAAATGAACTTGAATGTTGTGCATCCTTTGTAGTATCATTAGTTTGAATCTTTATTTCAGATTAGCCGTTAATAAAGTATCAATAACTCGTGGATCTAGGGCAGCTGGGTTTTATGAAACCAACGAAACTACACAGATGCAGACATCTCCAACAGCAATTATTGAAGATGCATCAACCAGTCCCTCTCAAGACATAGACAATAAACTTAAGACATTGCAAATTCAATCGAGGTCGTAAGTAGTTAATTTTTTAATTTCGCGAATTCAAATAGCTTTCTCAGAAATACTTGTAATAACTTCGGTTATTGTTTATAGACGAAGAAGTCAAGATCATATAGAAACAAGAGAATTAAGGAGGACTTCTAGAAATTCTGGTCGTTATGTGGAGGGGCAATATATGGTAAGCCTTAATAATTTTAAATTTGCCGTATTACATCATTTTTTAATTATAATTTTCGTACATATAACTTCACTCACAAACATTTATGCGTCATATTATTATTGTAACAAGTTATTTTAAATAGAATTTAAAATTTAATGTATTTGATGTTATTATAGTTTTTTCTTACAGTAATAAAATATCCTTTTGTTATAGGAATCCGATTCCGAATAATGAAGTACAATAGGAAAGAGTATATTGCATTCAAGGTTGAACTATTCCAAGAGGAAATGATTTGTGATACATTTATAATACACGCGTCTGATTGAACAAGTTTTGGATAACATAATAACTAAAACTTATTCAATCACTTATGCATATAATATAAATAATAAAATTACAAATTTATTATTGAGTTTCATATTATTAATATTTTATGGTTTCTTTTTTTTTTTTTTGAATCAATCAAACACACCAAACAATAAATTTCATAATATCAGTGGTTTTTATATCGATAAAATTTTAAACATTATTGTTACTATAAAATTATTTAATGATTGTCTAAATAAATGATTATAAACGTATGAAGGATAATTATTTTATGTATACCATTTGCTTATTTAAATTGTCTAGTATTAAAAATGTAATTCTATTTGTCACTGTACAATTATAATTATTGTTATTATTAAATATTTCATATTACGTACATAAGTATTTTCATCTATCATTCGTACCACGATGTTTACGGAAAATACTGCTTCTTTTACGACCTCTTGGTGTAACAACAACGCTCTATAAGTAATTAAGTATAATGTACATTAAACATTTTATTTCTATAATATTGTTGAATATAAGAAACAAATAATATGGCATTGATAAATTATTTTCAGTAATGTAAATAACTTACTTCGTCTTGACGTTTTGACATAAACAAACTTTTTAATGTGCGTGGTGTAGCTGATGTTCTATCTTTATTTCTTTCTTTTAATATTCTTGAATTTGGACTTCTTAGTTCACTTCCCTTAAATTTAAAAAAATAGACAAGAAACAAATTTTTAGATCAAGTACTGTCTTTCTTTCAACATTAATACTATTTATTACTTACTTGTGATGATAATCTTCCTCCATTTTTACTAGGTGTTGGTGGACCAGGTTTTTTGTATGATGTCTACAAAATACATAATTAAATATAACTTTAATCAATAATATGAGTTTTAATTGCAAGTAAGAAAGTTTAGATAAAAGTGTATTTTTATATAAACATTATGTTTTTACATTAAGTCTTTTATCATCATCTTGTTTCATTGTGTATAAAACTACAATTTATATCTCTGTTCATATTAGCTATAAAAAAAATTAACTTTACTTCTTAAAATCTATAACTTAGCTGTGAATCTATCTTAGGTGCATACCTGAGTTCTGTCTTTTTTCTTGGCTTTCTGTTCAGGAAGTAAGCTTTGACTTAAACTGTCATTAAATATGTCATCTGACACTGAACCTGTCTGTAATTAAATTAAAAACAAAATATATATATACATATAATAAAAATAATAAGAAAATAAGTTCAAAGCTGT